GACCTTGATGTGTGGTCCAATCCCTTCTGGCCGAACTAGTACAACCGTCCTTTAAATGGTGTATAACAAATAATGGAGGAGAATTCCGACATAATATAAATGATGATCGGTCTCAACCGAAATTGCATTTGAAATGTTGCCAATATGCCCCAGCTTGATTTACTGCTGTTTACACAAATGAAAAACACGACAAGCAGTTTAATTTATGTATTGTACGGTGTACCCCCATTTGTACGTACATAATTTTGTAGAATAAAACTTTTTTTGTTCTTAATTCTTTTTTTGAAAGAGAAAGCTAGGCCTATCAATCATTTCAAAATAGATTTCGACCACTTTGTCTTTATTTATATGTGATAATGTGAACATTATCATAGAACCCGACCCTGTGTTTTCAGTAAATATTTCATTTTGATGTCTATAAACAATCAAAACAATTGTTTCGAGCCAGACATAGTGCCTTCTGTTTAGGTATCAGAGAATGTGTTTCACCGTTCAGAAGTAGATTCGCTCTTCTCGGCAATAAGAGCCAATGCGTTGTGAAATCAGCGTTGTTCAAGTGCAACATACACTGTGCTTTCAATCGAAAATGGTCGGGGGGTGGAGACGTCACCTTATACAAGCTTCATTCATTTCAACAGTGAAAAAATACGTGGGAGCTCGGGGCAAAATAGCCCCCGAAATGCCCAAAAGAGCCCCCAAAAGTCATAAAAGAGCCCAAAAAATTTGCATAGAGTTCAATGCAAAAAAATTAAAGAGTGTTATTTTCATGCAAGCAAGCTTGGAAAGTAGCCCCCAAAATTGTGTAAGTATTTTTTTCCTTGCATTTCAATGATGATGAAACACATATAGCGACACATTGTAAAAAAAAAGATCTTTGAACTTAGCCATTGTGGTTGGCTACCAAGGACAGCGGACACCATTATGGACATACCACACATTAAAGAGATAACCACTATTATATCGAAAAGGAAATGAGAATGGGAGGGGCTAATTAGTCTGCAAGCACAGACCCTACTTTGACACTTTTTCAACAAATCATTGTGCCTTGAGAGAAGCCTAGCCCAGCTACCTACTGGTTGTGTCAGTATAGCAGCTACAGTACAATGTACATGGCCTAAGGTAGTCTTATAGTGCAGACTCACTTTTACGACTGACCAGGGTTTTTGCTTGCAGACTAGGGGCTAATCACATTATCTAACTGTATTGCTATATCAAAAGTTACAGAGTGTTATTTTAATCGTCCGTACAGGATTTCCGATAAATATCTGTGTGAGTAATTATTATTGGAAGTGGCATCCCACGCAATTATGCGTGCATGCATCCTAGGCTGCTGACAGCGAACACTTTGCTAACTTTGTGCGCGCCCCTTCCCCCTTAAAAATATATTCTATTAGAGGTCGATATTGATCAGTAGGGGAGCTACAGGGGGCACGTGTCCATAACCGGTCCCATACATGGCGAGACAAACAAATTGAGAAAGAAAAATGGGGAACAGACTCCCTCCTCTATCAAATCGGTGGCATTAGTGATCTCAGACTATCGGTATCCCTTATTTAAAAAAAAGTATGGTTACCATGGTTTTTTCTTCCAAATGACCATCCACCATGGTAACGATGGTATCAAGCAATGATAAACATAGAGTCATCAAATAATGAATGTTATTGTTTGATACCATGGTTACAATCATGGTGGATGGTAACTTGGACAAAAAACATGGTTACAATTGGTTCTTTTTATAAGGGATCCCCCCCCCCCCCCCACCAAAAGAGGAATTGTTCCAGTGTCCGCCCCCTTAAAAAAGCTCAATGGCTCAAAGCTACGCCATCGCCATTGAACATCTGAGCCGAGATCATTGGAACAACAATACAGGTTATAGGTATCACTGAAAACACGATACAATGGAATATATCAATAGTACATGTACATGTACGTAGGTTTGCAGTTACATGATGTTTGTCTCGGCCAGGGAGCTGCCTCAACTTTGAGTTCTTTGGTAGTGGCAACTGACCAGGGTATGCCCTGAACTGACTAAGGAGTTTTCTTGTATAGATAGGTAGTGTCAGAAATAGTGGCTATAGTAAAGTTTGTTCATGTTAGTGGGTGATTAGTCTGGAGGCACAGACCCCTAACGGTCATAGTGTGTAAGAGAGTGTCTGAACTGAGAGACTATGCCGACAGCAAGGTTTTCTGCATCCCATATACTTTGTACGTTAGCTGCTTCCGACCATAGACGTCTATGTTCCGACCATCCTGACATAGCTAGAGACTAACAAAGCTAGGCTCTACTCAAGAATTTTTGGAATTGTGTTTAACTATCAAATAAGAGTCTGTGCCTGGAGAATAGAGCGCCACCGAACCGAACCGTTTAGTGCGTGATGTTGTTGGGAGGTCTATCCATCACTCACGTAGCATGTGACATGTTTGGATAAGAGCTGAGTGGGTTAGAGACCAGGGTGATTCCCCGTCACTTGTACACTGAAGACAGGCCCACCCAACATGAAGCAATACTTAAAGAGAAGGTTGAGTTCTGGGAAGAGGTGAAAAAATAATTTTTGAGCGTTATCATTCTTATTATGCAAGTATGGAAGAACATCAGATAAGACATGTTCCCTGAAAAGCATGGCTATTTAAATGCCTTCATATTCTAAATATGACATGAAACATCGTAAAAATCTGGATAGGATTTTTACCCCATGTGTTTGTGTAGTCCCATATACATCTTTCTGTGTACAGTGTTTGTAAATTTACCAAGACTTGCCCAAATTTCTTATCATTTTGATGACTCCAGAACCTTGCAATACACATAAATTCTTATATGCTAGATGATCAATCTGTTCTGGTCAATTCCACACCGTTTCTTTCACAATGCAACCAGAACTCAACTTCATCTTTAAATGGGAAATCCACCCTGCCATGAAGTTGGATGTAATAGAAGCAGAAAAATAAGCGGAACATGTAGGTGAAAGTTTTAGCAAATTCTTAGTAAAAATAAGTAAGTTGTGAATTTATAAGTTCATCAAACACAAACTGTCAACACCGTGACGTTTCTTCCTCTCCAATTTGCTATTTCCTTAAAATTCCATATACTATCAGTATTATCTACCCAAACAGGGGTTATAGAAACATATTTGCAATAATTAAAACTAGGGTGCATGTATGATCGAGAAACAAAATTGAGGGAACATTACTGATTTGTTGTTGTTCGTATATGGAAAATGAGACTTGAGAGTGGAGCTAGCAAGATACGTCACAGAGTTGCCAATAATTCATGTGTTTGATTGATCACAACTTCAACAATTCAAAACAAATTAAAGAGTGTTATTTTCATGCAAGCAAGGTTGGAAAGTAGCCCCGAACTTCAGAGACCCGTTTTCTACAGTGCTTTGTACTGAATGAGATTGAGTCCAAATAATGTATACGAAATACAATACAAGACAAACAAATTATCATTTTCAAAGATAACCAACACGTCCTGAACCGACGCTAGGCCATTGTATAGAAAATAACGATTGCAAAGGATTTCCATTCATCAACTCAATGGCAATTTTCATATCCTGTTCCTGTTGCACATCCCATCGAAATTAAGTTCCGATTTGTATGTTATTAATAGTCAATTATGCCATATGTTCACACATTTTGATAGGTTATGAACAAACCCATTGGAATTGCTTTGGGATCATGATTATTCGGAATACATGAACCCTCCCATCTCCATACATGAACTTAGCAATAGGTAGTTTTAGTCTTTTCTACCATTTACATGTCTATGCATGGTTTTGTATACTTGATAAGGTAGACATGCCCCCTCCCCCACCCCTAGTCTGCAAGCACAGACCCTAATTTGACACTTTATCAACAAATCATTGTGTCTTGAGAGAAGCCTAGCCCAGCTACCTACTGGTGTGCCTGTGTCGGGATCAGCTATAGTACATGGCCTTATAGCCCCCCCCCCCCCTTTCCCCTCCCTTCAAATCCCGTAGTGGTCCGAGACATGATTGACCAAGAGGCTTACAGCGGACCAGAAGGTGAAGGTTAAGAGTGAGCGCTAACTAGACCCACCTGTATGTGATTAGCAACCCCACCTACTGCGATGAGCGACGTGTATTCACTGAGTGATTGCTCATTAGGCCCTCAAACTGACGGGGAAGAAAACACAAGACGAGATTATAGTTCGAACTCTAAGAGCACATGTTGTAGGAAAGTACAGAAGGCGACAGTTGTATATGCGGAGTATGCATGCTTTAACATTTCTTTCTATTACTCCTTCTATGCTAGGCTATGACGTATAACTTACATATAGACTTATTAAACTGAAAAGGAACGAAACAAGCTATAGGGCAAAGACCGTGTTGATGCCCTCTCTACATAATATATCTTGTTTCCGATGACCCTTTGTTCGTCTTTTATCAAAATGATGATAAAGTAGTAGACTTTTAATTTGATATTGACCTTAAATTAACAACTGATGCCAAAATGCAAAAACGCTGATAACTGCCATTGTCAGGATATCTGCTTGTCGTATTAGAATGCACTTGCGCACTTGAAGGAAGAAGATAGGGGCAGATTCGTTCCTAATTGACACATATTTGCAGCCCCTATAGTCCCTACGATGATAAATAAAAATATTGCAGCTACACTGTACGTAATCAATTTAACTAAATAAATCTTGGAAACGCTTGAAATATATGCACTTTCTCACCCACCCCCCCCCCCCCCTCAAAAAAAAAAATTAAAATAAAATTAAAAATAAAATTAAAAAAAATAAATAAAGATAATAAATAAAAAATGAATAAATAACTAAATAAATAAAAATATAAAAAATAAATAAATGAAGAAACAAAATATGCCTGAATGTTTTGCCCCTCCTGAGGCCAGGGTCTGGATACGCCAGTCACTGAACATGTTTTTCGTTCAAAGCTCGTGTGATTGCATGATGCACGTGAGAGCCATTGAATGTTCGCCTTCAATAAATGTACATAACTTTTGTTGTTTCTTTCTAGTTGTTACTGGACAACCTCCACTGCAGAACTCATCTTCAGTAGTCATAGGTAAGCATTTTTTTTTACATTTCGCAATTTGCTGTTCTCATTCAAAAGGACGAAGCTTCATAATTCAGCTCAATATCTTTTTTCCCCACAATATCAATGAACGGCTCCATTTGTCATATGATGAATAGTTTTCAAACACTTTCCGTAATGTCAATGTTTAACCAGAGAGGGAAAGGGTTAACGGACCACTACAAATCAAATTGAATCTAGTCGGATCCATTGATATTTAATCATATTGAGTCAAATTAAATGGAATCGAATCACCTAGATATTCGAATTGAATTGAATCGTATTCATTGGGATCGAATCGACTAAAATTGAATCAAATCGAATCAAATCAAGATCAGATCGAATGATTCAGAAATGTAATTTAAAAGAATTCAATTATTTCAAATACGGTAATATTATCCATGCATGACTAGGCGTGCCTATTCTTTTGAAATTTGGTATGAACTTCCTAGTATGAAGTATTTTTATTCATAATTGCATGTTTTCCATCGTCAAACGACTCTAATAACTGAATTATTTGTGTTTTAGGTGGTCGGAGTAAGTGTGAACCCCTGACTATGCCGCTCTGTCTGCAGAATGGAGTTCAATACACAGAAACTATCTTCCCTAACCTAGCTGGTATGATGACACAACAAGATGCTATAGTTGCTTCCGAGGTGAGTCCTCTATCGCTGCTGGAATGTCCCTTTTCACTGGCGTAGCATCACTAGCGTTGGGGGGGGGGGGGTACAGACAGTGAGGGGAGAGGGGGGACCGGGGGAAATTGTCATATTCGTGATGAATTTCAAATAGCGCCTATACAGTCATATAATGGTAGCTGCGACCATGAAAATATCGGAATATGCAGTTCTGATATATCATTATTAAACGGGAATAGAAAATCGGTTGATTTTAGTCAAGAAACATTGGTTTACTTTTAAGGCTAAAGTAATATCGATCTTGCGAGAGAGCTATACAACATAACAAGTTTATTATTCTCAATTTTATCACTTTAGACTCGTTTTCAACCGTGAAACGATCATTGAATATTTTAGGGTCGCATATGCCTCCAACATGATGTTCATTTGCTTACCTTTAAAAGATGTTCAAAGTATGCAAATATGTTCATCAAATTTCTGTTGAAAAGATCCTCAAAGTTTCGATTTCGGAAATGAAATCTTGCCTTTCTACGAAACTTGGTTATTCTCAGTCCAGAATTATGCGTCGAATACTAGGGGTCAACACACAGTGTAAGCTAATTCTGGATATGTACATTTTGCTTATCCTCTGTGTTAATTTTAAGTGCCATGTTACAAATTATTATATTCACTTGTTATGAATAATTGTATTTCAATAATCAAAATGTGAATTACATACACTAATTGTTGTAAGGTATTACAAGCATTATGGCTTAATTGTCCTACCTAACAACATGCAATGTATGCAGTTCGAATTCGAACTATTGAAATAATAATAACTAGCAGGACCCGTGGAAAATCCACGGGATTCTAGGGGAGGGGAAGGGGGGGGGGCGGTAAATAGAAAGAGGCCTATGTGCTATCGAAAAATAAAATTTGATTATATTTCTATAGGGTCTAGACGATTTTTATAATATACGCTGTTTGACCATGAATGGCGCACCATAATACCCGTTTTAATGCATTGATTTGATGAAGAAACTGTATCATAGTAAAAGTATTCTATCCAGCATGGCTATATTTTGAAACGACCATCCGAATTTTCTTGTGAAAACTTTACTTTGAAAAATGATTATCGAAATTCAGCATAAAACTATACATGGGCAGAATAATTACAATCTAAGCTCAGGTTTCATACCTCTATAGTCACGAAACTATATTGAGATAGGGGCAATAACAGCAATTTCAAAGTGTTGTCGAGTCTCAGCTCACACACAGTCACAGTTCCGACAGTGCTCGGCAGCAGTAGCGCACTGCACTGTCCGTGCGTGGACTCGAGCCCCACGGTAGCTAGCTTGCAACTGGACTGTCAATTACGATGAATTTCTTGTGAAAACTTTACTTTGAAGAATGATTCTCAAAATTCAGTAAATATGGACAGGATAATACCAAGGTAACCCTGCTTGCATACCTCTATTCACGTAAACTATATACAAATCACAGCAATCATCATAGAATCAGAGTCGAAGCGACTGAGCTGTGCGTGTGACGGTGAGCGTAGAATCATCGCACACATTATACACGTACGTTCGTACACGAAGCAGGTCCGCCTGGCCTACAAAGCATATCCTATAGAAAGACGCATAACACAGGTAAGCCCAACCCGTGAAAGCGTGCATTTTCTACATGCCATCACCCGGGTAATTCATCTGTTAATGTGTATTTCTCTCACATGCTACAAAGCATATCCTATAGCAAGATATCTAAACTTGGGGTAAGCCACATCCGTTACTACGTGATGTGCTACATCCATTGACAGAAGTAGATTCTCGTCCGCTGTGTGTCTCTTTGTTGATTGCACAGAGGGCGGATGCACGCCTTACCGACTCGCTCTCGCGAGTTCGTCGCCTCCTGGCAATCCGCGACGCCCGCCGTGCTCTCGTCCACCCGTCCTCCCCGGAACCTCGAATACCACGTTTAACGGCATGGACGTCGATCGCGGGGTCGACGTGGCACGCGGGTTACGGGAGACATGCCTCGTGTAATTGTGTCGCCGTTCCCGCGCCACGGCGGAGGCGGGCGCGGTCGGGGAAAGGCGTTTTTGAGGAACCGTTTTGCCCCGTTTTGGACCCCCGCGGCGATTTTGCGTATTAATAATATAGATTCGTAACAGGTGAATGGAATGATTTGTAATTGTAACTAGGCACGTATCAATGCTTTGTGCATTAGACTTGATAATATTACAAAAATTGTCTATACAAAATTTGATCATTGTCTCCATAAAATCTATTGCAGTTTAGCACTGCCACCGATAGAGGGTATGGTGCAGGAGGGATCCAATCACTTGCTTTTCTTGTCCATCGGAATATGTTTCCTTATATGTTTAACGTAGATGATTAACAAAGTACTTTCTGACCTAAATGTACAATTGGGGATCACGAATCGTTAAAAAATATGACCATGCATTGGCCCAATTAAACTCAAGTAAGATGTTAATCTAATGTTGTGAAACCCCCTCGCAGTTCTTTCCTCCACCGTAAACTAAACGTACCGAAAAGTCCGAATGTGAATGGCCTCACGTAGGTTTTCAAAATGCGCCCTGCTGCCGGCCCTGATGTGCTATTTACACTCTTCCACCATAACAGGTGCTACATTCAATACATCGACAATTAGATTTCCGTTCTGGTTGTGCTCCTGTTCGTGCAATAACAGGCAGGGTTCTTTGGCGATAAAAATGTTAACAATTCTGGAATTTAACAGCACTACTTCAAAAGCTGCTGTATTCTTTACAAACTGACTTGCCCGTGTAAAAAAGGAATAAAAAAGGTCACAATTTTTCTTGATGTTACAAATTACAATAGGGAAATTGCTATTCATAATTAATAACTAAATTCTGCAAGATGTGTACATAACAAAGTTGTTGTGCTAAATATTCTCAAGAGATTTTTATCCTGTTTAAACAGTCAATTACTGTTATTCTTTTTTAAATATTTTTCGTAAATGGGGAAGGAAAATGTGCTCTCCCCCCCCCCCCAAAAAAAAAAGAATTCTTTTAAGTTTGTCTCCACTAGCTTGGCCAGGGGAGATTAGATCTCCCTGCAAGGTCACTGACTGTTGATTATCTCATCAAATCAGCTCTCAATTAAAATAAGAAAAAGGGGATCATGGGGGACCAATATGCTCCGATTAGGCATTGTGTGTTATATATATAAATAAGTAGTGCAGTGGGGCTTTAAAAGTTCTTTATCAAAATGACTCTTTTAATCCTGTGCTGCTGGTCAGTTTTATGCACCAGTAAATATAATTAGTGAAGTAAATCTAAGTTCGACTCAAAAAGCATCTGAAATATCTGATAATTTGTTTTTGCCTAGGCTTTGTACGACGTTTTAAGGTTTGTTCCATCATCCTATACCTAAACTTCAATACCTTGTTTGAATATATATTATTTCATTGTTCTCCTGACAGAGTTTGGCCCCATTGGTGGCAATAGGCTGTGGTCCCATAGCAGACTTTGTGTGTACGTTGTTCGCTCCACCGTGCCTTGAGGTAGGCGATGTATCCGTACCAGTACCTCCATGTAGACATGTCTGCGAGGAAGCTCGAGATCAATGTATGCCCATCTTCCAAACTGTTGGTATGCCATGGCCCGATCAATTTGAATGCTCAAGGTTTCCTGCCATAGCAACCGAAGGACCAGCTAGGTGTGCCGAACCTGAAATGAGTTAGTTATAATTTACTTTCGTTCTTTGTGTTCAATTAAGTAGCCCTACTTTTCTTTATCACCACCGCCAGATCATAAACTGTCAAAGTTGAAAAATGCTGTTGATATTTGTCCAGAATAAGATGTATCAGACAAAAAATATGATTTTGTCAAGAGGTGTAAAATAAATAAAAGCCGTTTTATTCTGATAAAGACTGAAAGCTTTCTCCTTGTACACCACTAAGTTGATAGGCCTGTATCGGATCGTTCATTCATGACACTCATCTTGTCACTTTTCATCAGGAATATCAGGGATTGAAGGAGGGTATCATCACTTTCTTTTACATATTTTCACATTTCAACAATCCTAAGGGTATTGTCTCACAGCCACTGATAATTTGTTCCTTAGAAAGGGTACCACAGCCGAAACAAAAACATTCTAACTCTTCGCCTTTATTTAACGTGTACAAATGATACCTTTGCTTGTAGGGGTACTCGATGCATTGAACGAGGCTCAAGAGGTAACGGAACAGCAGGAACCTGAACTATGTTATGACGTCACAGTACCCGAATGTCGTCAGATGGGATTCACTCATACAAAGTTCCCCAACATCTTCGGTCATACCACACCCGAGGAGATGGCTCAAGATATGACGTCACTAACTGGACTTATCCTATCGGGATGCTCAGACGACCTTCTGCCTCTCATCTGCGCAGCTTACCTGCCCAAATGTGATTCTGAGACTGGTGACGTCACCAAACCTTGTAAAGAGACTTGTAGAAGGATCTCCAAGGATTGTAAAGATGCGATGAAAGAGCTGTCCATTGGACGATTAGATATCTTCACATGTAGGAACTATCCATCCAAGAAAGACGGTGAATGTGTGGAGGGTAAGTACTAACAAGGTTCAATTTTGACCGGGGTGTGCTGCTGAATCATCGAAACCCCTAACCATTTTTAAAGGTCATTTCGTGTTTTTGCATGTTTAACACCCGAGAAAGACAAAAAAATGAAATTTTGAAAAACGGACCAATTTTTCAATGGTATTGTTGTTAAAATGGGACTCAAGTTTAGGGATTTTGTTGGCGAAAAAGTGTCCTATTAGAGCGACACACCCCCGTATGTCAGAAAATATGAGTACCCCTCCCCCAGGCCTTTAGCAGTCATGTTCGACACTTCATATACCAATATGACAATATCTGTAAACGAGGCCGTATCGTTTAAAGACTTTCGTTTGGTCCGGATCGATCGCAAGTACAAACTCGCAAACCCTTATCTTTTTAGTACAGGTTTGCGATTGATATGCATTATGCGATCACTTCAATCAAATGTTACTATATGTAAGACGGGGTCCAGAAATGAAATACTAAGGAATGAAATGAGTTTATTGTTTGTATTTCAGATGTCCGTGCACCTGCTGTCCCAGTTATAATGAACATCTCGAGACCTGCCGTATCTCAGGCACAGATCTTCTCCCAACAACCTGACATTCCTAACGTTAGCTTTAACGGTCTCGAGATCACATTCTTCAACTCCGCGGGAGATGATGAGGGCACCGTGGTCGTTGATACAGAGGACGAAGCTACCATCGATCTCATGACGCAGTCCCAGTATACCTTGTTGGTCCGTGCCGTCAATGATTGGGGAGCTAGCGCATACGTGGATGCCACAGTACCTGAATATGTTCAGCGCGCTGGTAAGTACCAATGTCCGTTGCGTTGCACACAAAGCGTTATTTTTTAAAGCTTTATTACCTCCACTAATCACGCCTGTGAAAGCATTTAACGCATAATTATATCCAGTTAATCAACGCAACATATTGCTCTCACTTTGTTAGATCTAACATGGCGTTTTGAAGACTGCACCATGTGACGTCACTGCCAGTGCCTTAAAGGCACACTTTCCTACTTGTAGCTACTTGCTCCCTCTATATAGAAAACTTCCCAAATCGGTGCCTGTTGGTCCCCCATGATCCTCTTTTTCTTATGTTAAATGAGAGCTGAGTTAATGAGATAGCCACCTGTCACAGTGACCTCGATGGCTCTCTGGGTGGTCTAATCCCTTCTAGCTGAAGTAGTAAAGACTACCTTTAAAAGGACAAACAAATTGGAAGAGCCAGGTTATTCCTTATGTTATCTATTGTTTTGATAATTTCTTATGTACTTCTTTGTTTTTTAACTTATGTATTAATTGTTTTTGTTGTTTTATTTCATTTCCAACTATAATTCATCTATTTGACCCCAAAATAAACACCTTAACTATAAGCAAGACCAAATAACTAATGTTCTATCTCTTTATTTGAAAAATGAGATTTCCATATGTTTTGTACACAAATCACAAAAATGAGCGATTTTCGGGCTGACATGCAAAGACAAAAGGACACGTGACTTTGTAATGGTAGGTCCGATTTTCAAAACAATTCTTTCAAAAGATGCGCAAGACTCGAAAGAAAAAAGTCACAAAATTTCAGTGCAAGATTTTCTTGCGTTAAAAAATTATTGCGAAAAATGTCGAGGGGGAGGGGGGCTTCTAAAGCCCCCCCCCCCCCTCCCCCGGGCTAGATAGGGTTAAGGCATTTGAAAAGCCATGCTTTTCATGGAACATTTTTTATCTGATGTTCGTCCACACTTGCATAATACAATGATAACGCTAACAAATAATTGTTCACCTCTTTCCAGAACTCATCCTTCTCTGTAAAGGTAAATCATAAACACTCAGCTAAAAACAATCTCTTACAAAGGACATACATGCATCTTTCAAAGTAAAAAAGTTTAATCTACAATAATTATTCTTTTGAATGTTTTTTGTTGTCCTCCTTGTTTAGATCACTGTGAATCAGTTTCTACTCCTATATGTATGGATATGAAATATGACTTCACCCAGTTCCCGAATCTCCTACAGCATGCAAACCAGGACGTTGCCTATTTGGAATTATCGCAGTTTGCTCCTCTCATCCAAGTCCAGTGTTCGTTGGATCTAGAGGCTTTCCTCTGTGCAGTCTATATGCCTCCATGTACAGGTCAATCAAGCCCACAAGGTCAGTTTGTTTTAAGATCACTAATATACAATGTCACTACTAAACAGGTTCACCATTATAAAAGGTCACCATTAAACAAGTTCACATAAAACCACTTTCTAGGCCGACTAGTAGCATCCAATGCTCAAAGCTTGAGTGAACCTAAGGTACATGCTGTAGCCACAACATTTCCTACATCGGTCCACTGCCTTAGATTAAACTTTATCAAAAGGAAACCCTAAGCCATTGCTGCTAATAATTGCACTCCAAATTTCTGAAGATGATGATGAATTGTTCTATTTTCTTTATAACTCCTGTATTCCATCCCTCTGCAGTCACAATAGAAATGTGAATAAAATCGCTGTCCAAAAAAGATATTACTCTGTGGTATTCAAGAAGATGACATTAAAACACAATCATAAAGGCTTTCGAGAAATCAACTCAAGAGTGACGTCACTCACTCATTGTATGTACTCTAGAAATCACGTGCTGATTACGTAATACTTTGAAATTGCCTGACGTCGATTCTTCAATCTTTACAAACGTTTTCTATGCAGCGCTATTCAAGATCTTTTAAAATAGTTCCACGTAGTTTCACGTAGTTGATGTAAATGAAGGTATGCCAGACCAAGCAATGATTTTCATCTTGTGTTTGACCTAGGTATCAAGCCGCCCTGTCGGGAGCTGTGTGAGTCTTCTCGTGTAGGCTGTTTACCACTGATGACTAAGTTTGGATACACTTGGCCTGAAACATTGGATTGCGATCAGTTTCCTTTAGGATCAGAAGTCGGCAAGAACTGCTTCTCCAACGGTAAGAGAGTGAGAGAGAGATGGGGAAATACAGAGAGAGGGGGAGATAGAGAGAGATTGAGGAGGGGGAGATAGAGATAGAGAGAGAGAGAGAGAGAGAGGAGGAAATGCAGAGAGAGAGGGGGGAGATACAGAGATGGGGAGATAAGGAGAGGGAGAGAGAGAGGGGAGGAAAAAATACAGAGAGAGGGGGATAGAGAGAGAGAGAGAGGGGGAGATACAGAGATAGAGAGAGAGGGGGGAGGAGGAAATACAGAGAGAGAGGGGGAAATACAGAGAGGGAGAGATGGGGAGATACAGAGAGAGAGGGGGAGGAGGAGATAGAGAGAGAGTGGGGAGATAGAGAGATAGAGAGGGAGAGAGAGGGAGGAGGGGATCAACAGAGAGAGGGGGATATGCTCTCTAAGAAGAAAAGAGTAAATGTACACTCGATTTTCACTACATTTTCACTCTCCAGAGGAGTGACGTCTGTGATCACTCAATTTTTTTAGAGAGTACAGAGAGGGAGAGATGGGGAGATAAAGAGAGAGAGGGAGATAGAGAGAGAGTGGGGAGAGAGAGGGGGGAGAGAGAGAGATAGAGAGAGAGAGAGATAGAGAGAGAGAGAGAGAGGGGGAGGAGGAGATACAGAGAGAGAGAGAGAGAGAGAGAGAGAGGGAAGGGGAGATAGAGAGAGAGAGGGGGAGATACAGAGAGGGAGAAATGGGGAAATAGAGAGGGGAGAGAGATAGATAGAGAGAGATAGAGAGAGAGGGGGAGGCGATACAGAGAGAGAGAGAGAGAGGGAAGGGGAGATAGAGAGAGAGAGAGGGGAAGAGATAGAGAGAGAGAGATATAGAGAGAGAGAGGGGAGGAGGAGATACAGAGAGAGAGAGGGAGGGAACGGGAGATAGAGAGAGAGAGATAGGGGGAGATACAGAGAGGGAGAAATGGGGAGATTATAGAGAGAGAGGGGGAGATAGAGAGAGAGAGAGGGAGAGAGAGAGAGAGAGAGAGAGAGAGGGAGAGAGAGAGAGATCATCTATTAATTACATTTCCCGGAATGTCATGATTTACAGCAGTCGTTTTGTGGAGAAACCCGGATTCTAAATATTTGTTAATGATAATGATTAAAATAAAAAATAATAATGCGATAATAAGGATTCGTCTGTTTTACCGAATGTAACCATATCAGGATTATTATTTCTGTTCTTGGCTGAGAGGGGCTCAGAGCCTGAAAATTGTATGAGAGTGGTGGATTTGATCATATTTTCTATTACTATTGTTTGTTTTTATAAACTTGAGTAATGATAACGGTAGTCGTATAGTTTTTCCTTTGTATATTGCAGTCCATTTTTTTGTATTGTTTGTCTTTGTTTTGTGATTCCTCCAGAGGAACTAACTCTCCGGCCAGGTCAAGGACACATAGAGAAACAAATCAACTCTTCGGTTACTGCATACTGCTCTTCATCATCTCCGGATAACCGGCCAGAGTGGATGAATCCTGGAGGCGAATCTGTATCCATGAAAACACGTGGTAATACCGTCTTTCTCTTATTATTCATGCAATCAATAGGGGTGTGAAACCCGTCAGTTTATCACTATCCCCCCCCCCCCCCCCGATTTCCCCCTGATGTTCGTTGTTACCATCAACCAAAAACATTACTGCGATGAAATTATTAAAATATGTTGTAATAATGTCATCGCAGAAATGTTTTTGGTTGATGGTAACAACATTGCCATTGTACCATCCGTTTACTCGCAGGACCCCATTGGAGACCAACTGGTGTTGAAATGGCTCCCCTCTTAATAAGGATAAACAAATGAAAACATTTGTTTAAAATCCTATTTGCATTCTATACCATTTCTGAACACTATAATGTGTGGGTGTGGGTGTGTTATTTTTCAAGTTCATATTATATTTTTGTTTAGCTATTAGCACTGGAATCCCGTGAATAATGTAAATGTAGTTATAATAAATCACTCATCTGGCATGGGATCAAAACGTCAATATCCCATATAATGGGACAAGTTTGACATTACATTGCGTGATTCGTTTTTATATTACCAGGAGTTCTTCTTCACCGTATTCGGATAATTGATTTGAGTAGTCTTCATGTTCCCATCATTAAATGATATGATGAGTATGTGCGTGTGCGTACGAGTGTGTACGTATGTGTGCACGTGGTTGTTACTCTAGCCGACCAATATTATAGCATCCTACTACCAGTCATTTCACCCGGAAGTTAGTCAATCATATCTTTATCTATTTCAGACATGCCTGCCGTTGAGGGCGTCGCATATAGTGAACACATCGGTTCCCAGACAGCTGCTCTTACCATTCCATCGCTATCAGTAGAAAACATGGGTGTCTATTCATGTAGACTAGGCAACGAAGAACAAACCATGGATATCTCTCTACCAAGTAAGTCATATAGATGCCCCCCCCCCCCCCCCCCCACTCAGTGTTATTTAGGGTACGCATATGCGTGTTCCAAGCGACACCCCCTTTTCAGAAAAAGTCCGATGTGTAAAGTCAATATTGTTATACAAGCCTTTTTCAGCACTCCCCCCCCCCCCCCTTTCAGCAAAAGTCCGCTGTGCAAAGTCAATACGGGTCGATCTTTTTCTTTTGTTACGAAAAGGACATTTTGGTAACACGCATGGGGTCCGTCCGTTCTCGGAGTGGGGGGGGGGGGGGTATAGATGGAACCCAGTACCCAGATTGTATGTAGCACTATTGTGTCACTCTTAAATCAGATAATTTCATTTTGTCTGTTATTCAGATTATTTTACCCGAAATTTGGTTTACAGTCAACATATAAACATTTTTCAGTACGTTTACTTTTAATTAAGCAGACCCTTAGAAACGATGCATAATGCGTATCTACCTGTCTGCAAAGGACACCCGTCGTTAGAGGCCGGTTTTAGTGCATGCATTTGTACATGCATGTAGGCCTCCAAAACATACATTGTTTGTCCTGTATTAAATGAAAAGTACATTGTTTTTGTTTATTCTCCAGGATCGTGTGAAGCCCTTGAATCAGCCCAATGTGACATGGTGCTACCATACTCTGCATCACTCTATCCTAACTCTATGGGTCACATGACACCCACTGAAGCTGAGTTAGCATCCTTTGAGTTCTTACCACTCCTAGCTATGGGTTGTTCACCAGTCAACTTACCACTCTTCGTCTGTTCCCTTCACTTCCCATCATGTGGAGATGCCCCGGTCTTACCGTGTTCGGAGCTATGTCGGGCAGCCATGACAGAATGTTCAGTCTTTATCCTTGGTATCCAACATGTCTGGCCAGAGAAGGCCCAGTGCAGCAACTTCCCTTCAATGGCAGAAGGAACGTGCATTCCACCGCAAGGTTAGTTAGCATGTTACCTAAAGATAATTGTGAGTTCTGGTAAAAAAGAAAGAAAATGAATTCTCACAGAATCAAACGAAACTTACACTGAATGTTCAAGATTACAAATAAATGTCATTTACCATACAATTTTGGTAGAAATTGTATACTGGCTGAATAATGAGCATAGAAAGATTAGGAAATCAAGGTTAGTAGCCCCGACACCATTTGTGTATTCCCATATACATCTTTCTGTGAGTGCTTATTACTTTACGAAGACTGGGCCAAATTTATTATGATTTTGATGACTCCAGAACTTCGCAGTTCACACCAATACTTATATGCTACATGATCAACTTTTTCTGAACCATTCCACACATTTTCTTTCACAGTGCAATCAGATGACCAGAACTCACCTTTATTTTTAAGGTTAATTTTTAACGCGACTAATACATTTTTCTAGGCTCTTTGGTGCCGTTGTCCTAGCAGCCATTAGGTGTGAAGCATAGTACTTTTACCCAATAGAGAGCTAGAACAACAGTACCAAAATGTTAATCGTACATAATAAATGTTAGTGTTACATTATCTATAATAATAATACGCTAAGGCTCCGCGGGGGGCGCGACGTCTCCGCCAGCCTTTGTATTCTATTGTTTTTTAATGAGATCGCCGACCGAAGTTGGTGCAGCTATCTCCTCCTGAACCCTCCCCTCGGGGTCCCGGTGCCCGGTGCCATCGTCCGCGGGAGAGTCTACTCTGTGGAATTGGCTATACTCCGCCCGAGGTCCTCCTCCGTGTCGACGTCCAGGTCGAAAACAGACGCGATATGCATAATGCATGATATGCGTGACGACAGAGATACCTCATGCATATTCAAGATTACATCCGTATCAAAGAGACACACGACAGACGACGAGCAACTCACATTATGTTGCGTATTAAATGCTCTATGCAAAGGGCGGGATTACACACGAGTAAGCCATCTTGCTATAGGGTGTGCTTTGTACTAGCTGCAAAAGCCCGAGAAATACACGGGGCTAATTCCCGTCGACGTCTAAACTTAGAGACCTATTTCCATCATGATTGCCGCGATTTTGATATAGTTTTCGTGAATGGAGGTATGAAATCAAAGCTTATTTTGTGATTATTACGGACATGTATATAAAATTTTGATCATCATTTTCTAAAGGAAAGTTTTTACAAGAAAACCATTGGACTGACAGTTTAGTCGCAAGCTGCCTTCAGTCAACACACAGTGCAGTGCTGCTGTGCAGTGTGTGAGAGTTGAGATGAGCTTGCAGGAAGCTCCAACACAGGCACCGCTCACCGTAGGCGTCCGACGCCTGCGGCGCCGGTGTTGACCTTCCTGGAGTGTGTGTGAGTTCAGCTGAGCTGAGCTTGAGTCGAAGAGATTTGACACTTTGAAATTGTTATCTGTTGGTTTGCATCATTATTGCCGCGATTTCAATATAGTTTCGTGAATAGATTTACGAAACCTGAGCTTAGAATTAGTAAAAGTATTAGGTCTACTAATGTCTACGTTTTTAAACTACTGTCTGATTTTCTTGTGAAAATTTTACTTTGAAAAATGATTATCGAAATTCATGGTCAGAAATAATCACAATCTAGGGTCTATATTACGTTACAGTTCTTGCATCAAATCAATGCATGAAAACTTAGTTATTGAACTAGAAAAATGTTGTGTTTTTTTTAAATAGGCAATTATGAAGTAGTAAGCCTAAAACCTTAGCCTACTAAACAAATCTCAACAAAGTGTAGGCCTATCCTTTGATGAATTAATGAAAAAGTAGCCCCAGAAAAAAGAGCCCCCGAAAGTTGAAAAAGTAGCCCCCGAAAATTTCCCCAAAATTTGAAATGGAGCCCCCTCTAGAATCCCGCGGATTTCCGCGGGTCCTGAGTTGAGTGTATATATAATATAGGCGTGGGGTCCACGGGTTTCAAGGGGCCATAAACCCCCGAAAGCTCGGGGGTTTAGGCATTTAATTAGGGTCAGATGAGTATATTTTTAATACTTTATTTGTGACACTTGCGGGTCACTAATTAGCGTGGGGTTAATACGTAGAGTTGCGTAGTGTTGCGTACCAACTTCGCTGGCCTATGTTACTATATGCTGAGGGACGGAAAGGGGTACGCAAGATGAACGAAAACAATTCAACATGTTTAATTTTTTTCGCGTACTTTCGACGTAGAAACTCGACGCAGAAAGTACGCCTTTTTACGCAACACTACGCTACATGACTACGCAACAGTACGCTATACCCTACGCCAGATCGACAAAGCAGTAAAAGTTTTCCACACAGTAAGCAACCATAAGCAAACCTGTACGCCAGCTTACGCATAACCTACACAGGGACAATTTTCCCATTAATACGCAGCCTAATTTCTGCGTAGTCGGTACGCCACACTACGGAACTCTACGCAGTTCCAGTGGCTTAAAGAATAACTACCGGTACAGTTGGATCGTTTTTTTAATTTTTTTTATATAAGGCCAAATTAAACAAAAAACATGTTTAGCGTCCTGTTTTTTTCGAAAAATGGGAATGAGGAGGCCTTTTTTTTTTTTTCTTCTTTCAAAATGGCCGCTCCGTACATTTTCCTGACATTCAGGCTATTTTTCAAGATGGCGGTCGACAATTTTTTTTTTTTTTTTTTAAATCAGAAATACATTTTAGCAGTGCTCTTCATGTTTTTTTTCTTTCAAAAAAATTAAAATTAAAATTAAAAAAAAAACTAGACATATAATACTTGTTTGGAACAAGTATAGGTGGGCTGGTCAACTAACATTTGAGACAAAATAGAGCAAAAATAAGCGACATACTGCTTACAAATTCTTAAAAGACAATATCATGTAGATTCATAACGTGAACTAAATTCACCTTCTATAGGCATAACACGCAAATTATGAAGTTTTTGACATGAGGCCTTTAATCAAAATTTTCACTATGATGACGTCATCAAGATGAAAAATGGTTATTACTGCGCTTGTAGAAAATTGTCTTAGCTACAACATATCGAAATTTTGAAGAAAATTGATCAATATTTACAGAGATACAATCAATTTTACATAAATATGCTGACGTCATAATATGCAAATTCGTATTTTGAGTTCCAAGGCCATTGTGATGATGTCACGATACACTTAATGGCCAAATGAGACATGGAATCATATTTCCGACTCATACTCTATCTTAATATGAAAAAAAATTGAGGATCCCGGTGCATTCCAAAGAGCTATAACGGATTTTGTATAGGCATGTTTTTGCCCATATATGCTATGTATTAAAAGAGCTCGCGCGCACTGACATTTATCTTGAATTTACGCTCATCTTGTTAATAATGGTCATAAAGAGATAAACATGGAATCAAATTCCTTGAAAAAATATGAGAAATATCATGAAAGAAAAAAAAATGGCGATTCTATGTTTTTTAATGGTGTTACGCGCGAAAACGCGCGCGCATGCTCGTACGCGCGATTTTTTATAAAATGCTTAAAATGACCTAAAACGTATGCAAAATAAATTTGAGACGATTTTGAGCATTTAAAAATTTTGCGCGCGCATTGACGCGCGGACGTACGCGCACGCGCGCGTTTTTTGACATGAAATTGACTGGACTGATATTGACCTTGATCATAATAAATATGAATGAGAAATACCTTTTGGTTATGAAGATATGATCATGAGTTTTTTTTCAGAAAATTTCACAAAATGGCGCCTAGATGACGTCATCAGTCAAGGTCAAGGTTGAAAACCTTACCGTGTTTTCTCCATATGCCTATACATATGTGTGCCAAATTTCAAGTTATTTGATTGAGCCATTTTCAACTTATCTTGTTAACAAAAAAGTGGTTAGAAATAAAATAAATAAATAACTAGAAATTTAATTCGTCATGGTGACGAATTAGGTGGTCTGTTTTCAATTTTATGATCATTGAAAAGTCAAAAAAGAAAAAAAAATGAAGAAAAAAAATTGTTGGAGACGCCCGGACTCGAACCAGGGACCTCGAGGTCGGAAGTCAAGTGCGTTACCGATATACCAAAACATTTCCCATAGAGAATACACGTAAACGGAAAATTGAATTCTCAAATCCCTCTTTGCAAGTGAGATATGAGCATGATCCCGGCATCTGATCGAAAAATAAAGGGCACACTTGTGATAGCTTATTGTCTCAGCTGCAACATACTCAAAGCTCAGCGTAAACAAAGATAAAACGACGGAGATATTGCTCCCGAAAGACGAGAATGTAGAATCCAGTTTTGAGAAAAAGTCATATCCCATAGAGAATACACGCAAACTGTGAAAAATTGACATGCCTCCTTTAAGCGCAAAAATACGCCATGATGCCTTTGTCAAAATGAAATATCGTGGATACTGCATTTGTAGAGAATATTCTCAGGTAGAACATATCAAAATTTAAAAGAAAATTGATCAATATTTACAGAGATACAATCAATTTTCCAAAAATATGATGACGTCATAATATGCAAATTGAAATTTTGAGTTCGGAGGCCATTATGATGACGTCATGAGTTAATTGAGGGTCAAATGAGACATGAAATCATATCTCCAATTCATACTCTATCAAAATATGAAAACGAAATTGGGGTCACCTTGCATCCTAAAGCGCTACAATGGATTTTGTATAGGCATGTTTTTGCCCATGTATGCTATGTATTACGAGAGCTCGCACGCACGGACATTATCTTAAACGGACGCTCATTCCGTTATTACTGGTCAGAAAAAGGTGAACAAGGTATCAAAATGCATGGAAAAATGTGTCAAATATGATGACAGAAAAAATTCAGCGATTCTATGTAGGCAAATACAAGTACGCGCGAAAACGCCCGCGCACGCGCGTGCGAGCTTTTTTTTGCGAAACGCTTAAAATGGCCTGAAACGTATGCAAAATTAATTTTAAACGATTTAGAGCATTTTTATTTTTTGCGCGCGCGCTGACGCGCGGACGTACGCATGCGCGCGCGTTTTTTGACCTGAAATTGACCGGACGGATATTGACCTTAATCATGATAAATATGAATGAGAAATGCCTTTCCGTTATAAAGATATGATCATGAGTTGAAAGTACAAAAAAAAACACAAAATGGCGCCTGGATGACGTCATGAAGACTTGATGATATTGAAAAGGTTACTGTCACGTCTCATGACAATGACCTATGACTGTGCCAAAATTGAACGAAATTGATCAAACTGATCTTGAGTTATCCTGTGAACAAAAAAGTGGGAACAATAAATAAAAATAAAGAATAATAATAAATAAACTAGACATTTAATTCGTCATGGGGACGAATTAGGTGGTCTGCCTTCATTTCTTATGATCATTGAAAGGTCAAAAAGAAAAAAAAGTGAAGAATTTTTTTTTTTTGGAAACGCCTGGACTCGAACCAGGGACCTCGAGGTCGGAAGTCAAGTGCGTATACCGATATACCAAAACATTTCACATAGAGATTACACGTAAACGGAAAATGGAATTCTCTAATCCCACTTTGTAAGTGAAATATGAGCATGATCCCGGCATCTGATCGAAAAATAAAGGCCACACTTGTGATAGCTTATTGTCTCAGCTACAACATACTCAAAGCTCAGCGTAAACAAAGATAAAACGACGGAGATATTGCTCGCCAAAGACGAGAATGTAGAATCCAGTTTTGAGAAAAAGTCATGTCCCATAGAGAATACACGCAAAATGTGAAAAATTGACATGCCTCCTTTAATCTTAAAAATACGCCATGATGCCTTCGTCAAAATGAAATATCGTGAAGACTGCATTTGTAGAAAATATTCTCAGGTAGAACATATCAAAATTTGAAAGAAAATTGATCAACATTTACAGAGATACAATCAATTTTCCAAAAATCTGCTGACGTCATAATATGAAAATTGAAATTTTGAGTTTGGAGGCCATTATGATGACGTCATGAGTTAATTGAGGGTCAAATGAGACATGAAATCATATCTCCAATTCATATTCTATCAACATATGAAAAAGAAATTGGGTTCACTTTGCATCCTAAAGCGCTACAATGGATTTTGTATAGGCATGTTTTTGCCCCTGTATGCTATGTATTACAAGAGCTCGCACGCACGGACATTATTTTAAACGGACACTCATTCCGTTATTACTGGGCAGAAAAAGGTGAACAAGGTATCAAAATGCTTGGAAAAATGTGCCAAATATGATGACAGAGAAAATTTGGCGATTTTATGTTGAAAAATACCAGTACGCGCGAAAACGCGCGCGCATGCACGTGTGCGCGTTTTTTTTAGAAACGCTTAAAATGGCCTAAAACGTATGCAAAAATAATTTGAGACGATTTGGAGCATTTTTATTTTTTGCGCGCGCGCTGACGGCCGGACGTACGCATGCGCGCGCGTTTTTTGACCTGAAATTGACCGGACGGATATTGACCTTAATCATGATAAATATGAATGACAAATGCCTTTCCGTTATGAAGATATGATCATGAGTAAAAAGTACCAAAAAAAACACAAAATGGTGCCTGGATGACGTCATGAAGACTTGATGACCTTGAAAATGTTGCTGTCACGTCTCATGACAATGACCTATGACCGTCCCAAAATTGAAAGAAATTGACTAAACCGATCTTGAGTTATCCTTTACACAAAAAAGTGGGGAGAAATAAATAAAAATAAAGAATAATAATAATAAAGAAAGAAAATTCTGACGAAAACAATAGGTGATCTGTCATTGACAGACCACCTAATAAAGAAAGAAAATTCTGACGAAAACAATAGGTGATCTGTTTTCAACAGACCACCTAATAATAAAGGCAATTTTAACAAAATTATAAGGTGGTCTGTATAGATACAGCCCACCTGATAAAAAAAATAGGAGGCGGCCCCCAAAAAGGAAGCAAACGGGGACGCTGTTTTTTTTTTCTCTCTCTCAAAAAAAATTTTTAAGAAAAAAAAATAGGAGGCGGCCCCCAAAAAGGAAGCGGGCGGGGACGCTAAACATGTATACTTTTTTAATGGCCTGAATGGCAAATAAAGTTCTTGACGATCTCTATATATCTATTTACACCCCCCGCCCCCCTCTAGAATCCCGCGGATTTCCGCGGGTCCTGCTAGTATATAAATAATAATGTCAAGTACAAAATGAAGGCATCAATCAAGCCTATGAATGATTCAGTAATATGTTTCCATGCACTGTTAATTTGCATCTGTGTTTGCATGATATCAAACTCATACTGCGGCTAAAAGACTATTTTATTCGTAGTCCAGATTCAGTCCATTCTTTGTTTTTATTCTTCTATCACACGCATCGATTCCACACACAGCGCGGTCTCTCCACTGATCCCACACATAGCGCGGTCTCTCCACTGATCCCACACACAGCGCGGTCTCTCCACTGATCGCGCAATCCCCCAAATTTCCGTCCATGTGATCGGGGTCCAGAATGAGAGGAATTGCTAGGTCTACTTTTAACGTTGAGGGTGTTTTTTATCAGCTGATTAGGTGCGCTACCCGGAAACAGTACAGAGGCTGGACTAGTTTAGTCGCGGATGTAGGTCTGGTTTTGCACACGAGGCGTCACTTCCCGGCGCACAAGTTTGTATGAGTGACATGTGAAAGTGACATCTTACATAGAGTGAATGCGAAATGATCTGAATCTAGAACTCTAAACATTCCTTTAAATGGCGCATGCGCGTTTCCTTCTCCGGCTCGATTAGGCCTAGATTATGACCCAATCGAAATAATAATAATAATAATAATAATAATAATAATAATATACAATATTAATTAGGCGCTTAATACGGGTGTATCTATTAAAGCGCACCATAGTCTGACTAAAAAAATATTTACCAAAACTTATGATAAACACACAACTTATACATCTGTTTATAATTCAATAAATAAATAAATAAATCATGCATATATAATAATAAAAATAAGAGTGGGATCAAACATACATAGGGTCAAACAGAGGATCACACATAAGATCGAACAGACAGGAAATAAGACGGTGTGAACCTCATTTGACCGACTCACAACTGCAGAATATCATTCATGAATCAAAAAGGTGCGTTTTCAGCAAGGACTTAAATTGGTCAAGAGAATGAATATTATGAAAATGTGCTGGTAATTTATTCCAAAGTATAGGGGCATTTACTGAGAAAGCTTGATCGCCATACTTTGTAACGGTACGAGGTCCAAGGGTTAACTGCAAGGTTGATGATGATCGAAGAGGTCTTAAAGAACTAGAAGAACGTAAGGAAATCAAATCTGAAAGATATTTAGGGGCTTGGCCATGAATAATTTTGTATGTAAGAAGAATAACTTTAAATGTTATACGATGGTGTATGGGAAGGCAATGAAGAGAACGCAATATTGGGGTTATGTGCTCAAATTTTCTCTAGAGAGTAACAAGCCTTGCAGCAGTATTGTGAATTCTTTGAAGTGGAAGTAGTTACGAATGCGGAAGGCCGGACAAAAAAGTACAATAATCAAGGTGGGAGGATACAAATGCATGGGTTAATTTTGCAGTTGTGGGCAAGTCAAATAGTTTCCTAATTTTCCCAATTTTAAAGATTCCAAAAGATGCCGATTTACAGACGTTTTAAATATGCCTTCGTGTGCGCTATTCAAACTGTCTAGTGTGCATTGGGCTTCATTGGTCAATGAAGTCTTCCAGAACTAATCGAAAACTCGCCTGTTTTATCATTCTCTTCTAGGTGTTTCAACGACTACGACCAGCGGGCAGCCAAACGAGGAAACCACTACCCCTCAGACAACTACCGTGGAGGCTACAACACCGGTCCCATCTACACTATCGGCAGTAGTTCCCGTACATCAGAATGTAACGAATGCTACAACGGGTGAGCTTCTCCGCCGCTCCTACGCCATCACAGACCGGGGAATGGTGCAGATGTTTCGTGGGTGGGTTGATGTACAGGGCCAGGGCGCTCCCAACGATTTCTGCAGGTAATTCATCATAAGTGATCATCGTTAATTTTGTCTCTCTCCTTTCAATTATATTAGCCGATTGCATCACATGGTTTTTAAAATAGACACAAAAATAACATAGATCTACACTTTACTCCTCTGTAATATCTCTCTTTCATTGATACTCAGGTATTCGGTGAAGTGGGCAACAATTTCTGTCATTCAAATTCATGTAGGGTCTTGTGTACTCAGGTTATTAAACAAATAATTTAGTGAAGTGTGCCGAAAGTTATTTTTCTCTTAATCTTCTTGTATAGGGTCGTGCGCACCGATGGAAAGCCATTCCTTTCATGTCTTCTCGCTGGATCTGAAGAAGATGATTTACTAGCCTATACTTCCCCCAACCCCTCCGTAGAATGGTTTGATCCAGGTTATTCCAATACATGGTACATGAAGGATGAGGATAATGATGGGCGAGACGACTATTGCAGGTAGGTTTTATATTCTCATTTGAATCTCTTCTCTTCATTTATTGTCTAGATTTAACAAATTGCATTGTATTAATATTTTACTTTACAACATCGAAAAGATTCAGATGTCACTTGACAGAGACATATATGAGAACAGTTTGTTGTGACATAACGATCAAGTGATTGTTGAACTTTCATTAAATGACATTATTCATTATCTCCAATATTTATCAAAAGGTTCACTTCTTCTTTTTGATGAGTTTTTTCCAAGCATCTAAATTACCTAGAAGACACTGTCGAACTCTCAAAGACCGGTGCAATGCTCTTCATAGGCCTACAGAGGTCGATCCATTTAAGGGCTTATATCTAAAACAATGATGTCCATCACAAGCGGGTACTAAATGGAGATTAAATAGGAAATAACACCAGCTACCATTATTATCAATCTTTTTTCTTTACAGATGTATTGGTAGTGTGCCCTCTACGTTGGTTGTCTGTATGAAAGCTGGAGCAAATGGATTTGAGGGACCTGGCAGTGATTTCTTACCTCCTAACTCCCCAGAGGAATGTCTCTTCCACCAAGCCGATCCTTTCTTTGGCTTCTAATTGTCTCATCATTCAATGTCAACATTGCTCTTTATACTCTATCTACCAGGTAAACTTCTTCTACAAAGTTTGTTACCATACATTAACTCACAAGTGTTTGGCTGTTTGTATATTGATCTGATAACGAACAGGAAATTGCAAGCATTAAGTGTGATAAAGAATGAGAATGACTGCCCTATGGGAAAGCATTTTACGAGTTCATCTTCTTTACTTCTTAATAATGTAATAAAATAAACAGTAAAATGAATAAATTGGTAAAATTTGTAATATTTTGTAGACAATGTTGAAAGATTTGATACCACTAAAAGGACTGTCGGTTCTCCATTTAAACTTGTATGAGTGACGCTTATGTTGATTTTTGTTGTGATAATGTTTAGTCTAAAACCTAAATGTAAAAACCAATAGTCTACAATGTATGCCTATGTACTTTGTTCCTTGTAAAAAAAAGGAAACATTTTACCTACCTCTAAAGAGAGAAAAAGAACGAATCTGTATTGGTGATATTATATTATTATAATATCAGTATACAATGATCCTTAAATAGACCCCAAACCAAGTAAATACGATATTACACCGATTCCTGCTGTGAACTATTACCATTATAGTGATGTGTTTTCAATACCGTTTGTCCATCCGGATGACCTTTTTACAGTACACATACATGTATATCATTTTCAACCGTGACTGCAGGTTTTTTTATAGAATGTATCCTTATCCTCCCACAAAAAACAGGCTCGATTTTTGTATCTTTTTCTAAAGATTTGTAAATAGATAACAATGAACGTTCATTACGCTAGCTGTATTATCACGTGACTAATAAAGAGATAGAAACATCTCATTGAGTTGATTGCTGTGTGTTTGTTATATTATTATTATTATTATTCTTGGGTTGTACAGTAACCACATCAGAATGCCCGGGCGAGCGTCATTTTGACTACGTTTATGACGGAGAAATGCGTCAGCGACTGGTGTGCTCGTTAGAGCAAACATTGTGTTGAATTACTACTCTATGAGCAAATTGCCTTCGTATGGATGATGAGCTGAAGAAATAACGCAAGCAAATTGCCGTATTTTGTGTAATGTCCTTTGCATATGCGCCGTCATTTGGCTGACGTACTTAAAGAGAAGGTTGAGTTCTGGGAAGAGGTGAAAAAAAATTGTGAGCGTTATCATTCTTATTATGCAAGTGTGGAAGAACATCAGATAAAAAATGTTCCCTGAAAGGCATGGCTCTTCAAATGCCTTCATATTCTAAATATGTCATGTAACATCGTAAAAATCATCCGGGTAAGATTTTTACGCCACGTGTTTGTGTAGTCCCATATTTATATTTCTGTGTACAGTGTTTGTAACTTTACCAAGACTTGGCCAAATTTCTTATCATTTTGATGATTCCAGAACCTTGCAATACACACAAATTCTTATATGCTAGATGATCAACCTTTTCTGGTCGATTTCTTTTCTTTCACAATGCAATCGCATGACCAGAACCCAACTTCATCTTTAAGGACTGCGTCAGCATCTTTCCTTGAAATGACTCGACATGACAGAATGATATCATACCAAAAGGTGAATGAATAAATAAACAGAGCCAACATTACTTAGAGTTACTTGTGAATATTCAGTTACAGGCTTCATTAGCGCAGACTGGTAATAACGCAATACAGAAATTACGACTTCTTTGTATCTATTGCGTCACTCCACTTGTATTAAAGTTCATGTACGTGTATGTCATGCCTGTGCCATCGAGTGATAGTTGAATGTGTGCTCAGCTCAGTGACATCACAGAGAGAAAGAGAGAGAGAAAAAAGGGGGTAGCGAGGAAGGGTGGATGGGACAGAGTGGGGGAAATAGAGAAGGAAATATTAGGCCTACATGAAGAGAATGGCAAAGGAGACGAGGAAAGTGTGTATGAAAGTGTTAAATGGTAAATGAGAGGAGTATTATTAGAGATAGGGAAATTGTAAATTAAAAATAAGGAATATTTGATAAAGAGGTAGGTTAAAGAGAGAGATGGAGAAAAAGAGCAGGATTAAAGACGGGAATACAGTGGAACTTCGTTATAGCGTGATTTTTGGGGAAGGGGTGGGGGTGCACATTTTTAATTTTTTTTTTTAGGGCCAAAACTTAAAAAATGTGCTCAATACCCCCCCCCCCCCCCCCACGACTTTTCGGCCGGCGCGATGTTCAATTTTTCGGGAGCAAAAAACAAAAAAATATTGGGCCCCCTCCCCTAAGAAATCCTTGATCCGCGCCTGTTAGGACCAGCAAAACAACAATATAAAGAGTTGGGATCAGCAAAATCACCTTGTTTTTAATATATACCTCGTTATATCAGAAACCTTTATACTGAGGTTCCCCTGTATTATATTGAGAAAAATATGAAGGAGAATGGGCCAATGTGAAAGAAGTAACATAGACAATGAGAAGAAAAACAAATGATGAGATTGAAGAGAGAGAGAGGGGGGTGGGGTCGACAGGATCGGAGAGGGGGGACTCTGGAGAGAGAGAGAGAGAGAGAGACAGATGAATAGAAATAACAGAGACACTTAAAAGAGAGAGAAACATAGGCAGAAGAGAGAAAGGAGACGAGAGGATGGAAAAAAGAAGGGAGAAGAAACAATATACATGATATGATTATGAGATCGAGGAAAGCAGTAACAGCCCCGATTTTTTGCCGATAATTACCGGTTGCCACCCCCCCCCCCCACCTCCCTTTCTCCCGCCCGCTGTAGCCACAGGGTGAAAATATAAAAGATACAGGATTCTATTTCATGTTCGGATCCTTTGGATTATGAACCTCAATTAATTTTCAGAATATTGAATTCTATTTCATTTTCGGAAATACGAGCCTTCGCAATAATGAACTTTTAGAGTAACGAAACTTCGGAATTACAAACACTCGGAGTAACGAAGTTCCGGATTTGTTCACGTCTTTGTATGACGTTAAAAATTGCTTTGCCCTGAATTAAATAGAATGCTGATATCAAAAATCGGAATGCCATTAACTGGAATAATTTTGCCGATGAATTAGTTCGGATGCTCAGGAATCAATGTTCGCGTCTCCAAATGGATTCCTATGCACGGACTTTAAATATGAAAGACCGACATCAATCTACAATGCAACTTGATCGAATTGAGGTCCACAAATAAGAAACTGGGCGGGAAAACCATCTATGAATATTTCTTACGATTATTCCAATCCTTCTTGCTTTCTCTTTTAAGTCATCCAATCTTTTTCTCATTTTCAATTTTTTTTTTTTCTTCATCACATCAATTAATCTATTCCGTCTTCTCCAGACTTCTGCTACCTCCTTCTGCTTCTTATTCCATTCTCTTTTTCTCTTCTCCGTCTGTTAATTGCATCTGTCATGTCAGTGATCTCGTTTTCATTTGCCATTTAAGTTATGGCCCCTACGTTGTACAATTGTGTACCTCTCTGTCTCAATCCCAAATACTACCATTCATTCTCTTTAAATGAACAGTTATTTTAAGAAGCTTATATAAATTGATAGAAGCATTACAGTAACACATCATCTGTATGCAATCATATTCAACATAAAATCGTAAAGGTTAACATTACATCAACACCATGAACGTAAAAACCTATGAAAAAGAAAACAATTAAGCAAGCAATGAAGCAAACTTGGTATAAATAGTCAGATAACGGAGTCAACACATTTTAATTAATTGAACGTTCCCAGGCTGATATCTAAAATAGTCATAAATATGATATAAATTAATCATCTATAGAACAATTTCACCATTAAGACTTATGAACGGAAATACCATATTCACATCGAATGCAAATAAATTTACAAGAAGAATTCGTCAAGGAACAATGAATCATTGCCGACTTATGAACTGAAATGTAATTCAAACAGTTGGATATGGTATGGAGCATTAAAGGCTTGGTCAGATGTGGATGTTCGCTCCATACCATATCCATCTTTTGAAATATTTCCTTTCAGGGTTCTGCACCATATCTTGAATTTATAAATGTAGAAAGAATTGTGATCTCTACTGATTTGAATTAAATTCTTCTGCAGGAGTCTGCAAAGTTTGTGTTGATTCTTTTGTTGTAAATGTATTTTCCTACATCTGTAGGCTTTTGTACATTCACCATTATGAAGTGCAGACTTATGCACGAAAATCCAATCTCAGTATGATAATACATGAAATATATATATATACATTGTACATTTACCATTATAATGTGCAGACTTATGCACAACAATCCAATCCCATATTGATATGATATAAAATATATAAGCGATGAACATTTACCATTATAATGTGCAGACTTATGCACGAAAATCAAATCAGAGAATTATATGAAATGTAATTGCTGACATTCGCCATTATAATGTGCATACTTATGCACAGAAATCCAATCTCAGTATGATAATACATGAAATATATATCCATTGTACATTCACCATTTTAATGTGCAGACTTATGCACGAAAATCCAATCTCAATATGATATTACATGACATATATATGCAATTGACATTCACCATTATAATGTGCAGACTTATGCACGAAAATCCAATCTCAGTATGATAATACATGATATATATATCCGTTGACATTCACCATTAAAATATGCAGACTTATGCACGAAAATCCAATCTCAGTATGATAATACATGACATATATATGCAATTGACATTCACCATTATAATGTGCAGACTTATTGACGAAAATCCAATCTCAGTATGATATTACATGAAATATATATCGTTTGTACATTTACCATTATCATGTGCAGACTTATGCACGGAAATCCAATCTCAGTATGATATAACATGACATATATATGCAATTGACATTCACCATTGAAATGTGCAGACTTATGCACAAAAATCCAATCTCAGTATGATATTACATGATATACATATGCAATGGACATTCACCATTATAATGTGATGACTTATGCACGAAAATCCAATCTCAGTATGATAATACATGACATATATATCCATTGACATTCACCATTAAAATGTGCAGACTTATGCACGAAAATCCAATCTCAGTATGATATTACATGACATATATATCCTTTGTACATTTACCATTATCATGTGCAGACTTATGCACGAAAATCTAATCTCAGTATGATATAACATGACATATATATGCAATTGACATTCACCATTGAAATGTGCAGACTAATGCACGAAAATCCAATCTCAGTGTGATAATACATGAAATATATATATCCATTGTACATTCACCATTATAATGTGCAGACTTATGCCCAACAATCCAATCCCACATTGATATGATATAAAATATATAAGCGATAAACATTCACCATTATAATGTGCTGACTTATGCACGAAAATCAAATTTCAGTATGATAATACATGACATATAATATATCCATTGTACATTCACCATTATAATGTGCAGACTTATTGACGAAAATCCAATCTCAGTATGATATTACATGAAATATATATCGTTTGTACATTTACCATTATCATGTGCAGACTTATGCACGGAAATCCAATCTCAGTATGATAATACATGACATATATATGCAATTGACATTCACCATTATAATGTGCAGACTTATGCACAAAAATCCAATCTCAGTGTGATAATACATGAAATATATATATCCATTGTACATTTACCATTATAATGTGCAGACTTATGCACAACAATCCAATCCCATATTGATATGATATAAAATATATAAGCGATGAACATTCACCATTATAATGTGCAGACTTATGCACGAAAATCAAATCTCAGTATGATAATACATGACATATATATGCAATTGACATTCACCATAATAATGTGCAGACTTATGCACGAAAATCAAATCTCAGTA